AGAAAGTGTCAGTCACGGGGTGTCTTTTGTCATGGATGATGTTGAGTTTCTTGTTGAGAGTGTAATCTGGCATCCAATCCTAGCATTCAATGCTTAATTCACCTGAACACCTGCAACTTTAATCTCTTAAACTCCCACTGTTCCCTTTACCCCAGCTCCACCTTCAGCTAAGTGCATCCTAAGCTCTGGAATTTCCCTCAAGACCATTGTATCGTCTGTCCTGTTTTAAGACTATTTGTTAAACTTATTGACTGAACTTTGACCCTGCTAATAATGTGTCTTGAGTCTCCTTGGGATGAATTCCCATTTTATGAGTCCTGCACATATGCAAGTTGTTGTAAATTTCTCATTATCCTGTCTCCTTTAAACCTAACTCAACCCCTCCACCACTGTGATTTGGTTTGATTTATTATTGTCACATGAACCAAGATACAGTGAGAAATATTGTTTTGCGTGCCATTCAGACAAATCATACCTTATAGGGTATGGAAGGTTTGAGTTATAAGGCTGGCTAGGCTGGGACTTTTTTCACCGGAGCATAGGACGTTGAGAGGCGACCTGATAGAAGTTTATAAAATAATGAGGGGTATAGATAGAGTTAATGATAGGTGTCTTTTCCCACAGATGGGAGATTTCAAGACTAGGGAGCACGTCTTTAAGGTGAATGGAGAGAGATTTAAAAAAGAAATGAGGGGCAAATTTTTTACACACAGGGTGTGGAATGAACTTCCTAAGGAAGTGATGGGTGCGGGTACGGGTACAATTACAACATTTAAAAGACATTTGGATGGATACATGAATGGGAAAGGTTTGGAGGAATATGGGCCAGGAGCGGGCAGGTGGGACTAGTTTAGTTTGGGATTATGTTCAGCATGGACTGGTTGGACCAAGAGTCTGGTACCGTGCTGTATGACTCCATAAGTACATCAGGATAATAGAACAGAATGCAGAATATAGTGCTACAGCTTCAGAGAAGGTGCAGAGAAAGATCAACTCTAATATATGAGAAGACCATTCATAAGTCTGATAACAGCGGGGAAGAAGCTGTTCTTAAATCTGTTAATATTGTGTTGTAAGAAGTATGATCCTCATTCCCACAAGCAATCTGTAAATTACAAAATCCCTCAATTGGAATTCGAAACCTAATTCTTTACTTTTGGAAAAAAAAATGAACAGAAAAACGAAAGATACACGTTAATTTCTTGTCAGTTCTGAGGCCAGATTTCTTTCTAAAAGAACGAAGGAATAAGATTTAAGACTGAAATACAGATAATATATAAGACTTAAAAGCAGGAGTGGGCTATTTGGCTCTTCAAGCCTGGTCCATCATTCGATAAGTGCAGGGCTATTCTGATTGAGGATTCAGCACTATTTTCCTGTCAGTCCCCCATAACCTGGATACTGAGGGACAGGATCAACCAACGTTTGGATAGTCAAGGTCTGATTAGGGATAGTCAGCATAAACTTGTCCACGGTAAGTCATGTCTGACATATCTTTTAGAGTTTTTCGAAGAGGTAACCAAGAGGACAGATGAGGATAGAGTAATGGATGTTATCTATATGAACTTTACTAAGGCCTTTGACAAGGTCCCGCATGGCAGGCTAGCTATGAAGGTTGGGTTGTATGTGATCCAGGGAGAGCTAGCTAATTGGATTAAAAATTGGCTCGATGGTAGGAAGCAGAGGGAGATGGTTGAAGGTTGTTTCTCAGTCTGGAGGCTTGTGACTAGTGGTGTGCTGCAGGGGTCGGTGCTAAGACCTTTGTTATTTGTTATTTACATAAATGATCTGGATGTGGATGTACAAGGCATGATTATTAAGTTTGTGGATGATATCGTTGATAGCAAGGAAGGTTATCAAAAATTACAGAGGGATGTTGATGGATGTTGATCAGATGGGGAAATGGGCTGAGGATTGGCAAATGCAATTCAATACAGATAAGTGTGAGGTGTTGCACTTTGGAAATCAAGGCAGGCCTTATACAGTAAATGGTAAGCAGTGTTGTGGAACAGAGGGACCTAGGAGTACATGTACATAGTTTGTTGAAAGCGGCATCACAGGTAGACAGGTTGGTGAAGAAGGCATTTAGCATGCTGGCCTTCATCAGTTGAGGCATTTAGTATAGGAGTTTAGTTATGTTATAGTTGTATAAGTCGTTGGTGAGGCCACGCTTTGGAGTATTGTTTACAGTTTTGGTCATCCTGTTGTAGGAAAGACATAGTTACACTGGAATGTGTGCAAATAAGATTTACAAATATGTTGCCAGGACCAGTAGGCCTCAGTTATAAAGAGAGATTGGCCAGGATAGGACTTTATTCGTTGGAACGTAGGAGAATGAGTGGTGACCTTATTGAGATGTATAAAATCATAAGGGTCATATATAGGATTTATGCATATAGTCTTTTTCCCAGGGATTGGGAATTGAAAACTAGAGGGCATGGGTTTAAGGTGAGAAGGAAAAGATTTAAGAAGGACCTGAGAGGCAACTTCTTCATGCAGAGAGTAGTGTGTATATGGAATGTGCTGCCAGAGAAAGTGGTTGAGGCAGTTACAGTAACAATGTTTAAAAAAATATTTGGAAAGGTACATGGATGAAAAGGGTTTAGAGGGATATGGACCAAATGCGGGCAATTGGAATTAGTTGAGTGGGCACCACGGACCAGCTTGGGCCGAAGGGCCTGTTTCCATGCTGTATTACCCTATGACTCTATAACCCTTGACCCCCTTATCTATTAAGTATCTATTTAACTCAGCCTTGAATAAAGTTACACGTATTTCTGGGGAAGTTAATTCCATGTTTCCCCCACAAGAGGAAACATCCTCTAGCTTTCTACCCCTCCAGTCCTTGCAAAAACTTGTGTGTTTCGTCATCTCCAGTTAATTCAAAAGAAAGAGCTTGTTACAAATTAATTACAAAGGTGTGTGTAATAAATAATTCATTGATGAACCAGTGGGCCATGAGCATGTCATTATTGGTGATTAGCACTACTGTACCATTAACTTTCCCCTAAAATCGCAGTTTGATTTGGAAAGGCTCAAAGACCGCTGACTTGATTTGATTTATTTATTGTCATGTGTACCTAAGTACAGTGAAAAGCTTTGTTTGCGAGCAATATCGGCAGGTCATAGTAAGCAAGGACATACAGATCATAGGATGAAAAAGGCTTGGACAGAGTAAGGCATACAGATTACATCACACAGGATGTACACTAGACAAGATCAACATTATCAAGATCAGCATTATTTGAAGTGAGAGAAATTAAATGAGTGGTATTGCACAAGTGGAATTCATTTAGCGCATTATGCCTTTGCAACTAGTTTCATTTCCCTGCTTTTCCCCTAGAGTCCTGCAAATTTTTACTTGTATTTATCTAATTCCTTTTTGAAAGTCATTCCGAAATCTGCTTTCCCCTCCCTTTAAGGCAACACATTCCATCTAGTGGTATTAGGCCTAGACTATTAATTGAGAAAGTAAGGTAATGTTCTGGGTTCAGATCTGATCATGGTGGATGGTGGAATTTGAACTCAATACAAATCTGGAGTTAAGAGCCAAATGATTTTGGTAGACAAACAGGAGGCTGGAAGGACACCGCAAGCCAGGCAGCATCTGGAGGAAAGGAGCAGTCAATGTTTCGGGTATAACATTTCTTCAGGGCTGGGTGATGTTGATTATCAGGAAAAAACTATCTGTTTCACTAATGTCAGGGTATAAAGGACACTTTTTTTGGGTTATAATTTAAAGGAAGATCATCCTTGAGGGGAGGGAAGGGAAATTACCATCCTTACCTGGTCTGGCCTACATGTGACTACATACCCACAGCAATGTGGTCGATTCTTAACTACCCCCTGGGCAATAAATGCTGGTCTAAAAATGTTAAGAGGTGATTAATGCTGGCCTTACCAACAACACCCAGATCCCGTGCATGAATTGATTGAAGTGCACAAGATCCTGAGTGATCTTGACCGGGCAGATGTTTCCTCTTCTGGGAAAATTGAGAATGAGTCACTGTTCAAAAATAAGAGGTTCTTTGTTTCAAAAAGTGAAATGTTTTCACTGATTGTTGAGAATCTTTTGGAACTCTTCCCAAAAGGGTAATGGGAGCAGTGTCTGAACGCGTCTAAAGTGGAGGTGAACTTGATAAACTGGGTGGGGGGAGTGTAAAAGGCTGTGAGGAAGAGGTGGGAATGTGGAATATGAGGTTCCAATCATGATCTTATTAAGTGGCAGAGCAGGGTCCAGCCGCTGAATGTCTTCATTGTCCTTATTAATTTTTGAAACTAGAGCTGGGGTAAACCTAACATTGCCTCAAGCCCTTTAATGAAAGTCCTTTCACCCGGGTGCAGTTTAGTTTGTGGAATCTGATGACGGTAAAGCCACATTTCCCTCCAAAACCACCCAATTCCTGGGCGGTGTGAGAGATAACAAGGTGCAGAGCTGGATGAACACAGCAGGCCAAGCAGCATCAGAGGAGCAGGAAAGCCGACATTTCGGGCCTAGACCCTTCTTCAGAAATGGGGGAGGGGAAGGGGGTTCTGAAATAAATAGGGAGAGAGGGGCAGGGGAAGGGGGTTCTGAAATAAATAGGGAGAGAGGGGGAGGCGGATAGAAGAGAAGATAGGTGGAGAGGAAACAGACAGGTCGAAGAGGTGGGGATGGAGCTAGTAAAGGTGAGTGTCAAGGTAGGGAGGAGATAGGTCAGTCCAGGGAGGACGGACAGGTCAAGGGGGTGGGATGACGTTAGTAGGTAGGAGATGGGGATGGGGCTTGAGGTGGGAGGAGGGGATAGGTGGAAGGAAAAACAGGTTAGAGAGGCGGGGACGAGCTGGGCTGGTTTTGGGATGCGGTGGGGGGGAGGGGAGATGTTGAAGCTTGTGAAATGTTTGGTTTTTCGCGAGAAGCGACCGGCGCTGCCTAAATGCAGCTTTCACACGAGCTGCAAGGACGAGTCCCAGGAGTCAGCTGTTCTTGAAGTTTCGACAATGTACAACCGGAGTAAGGAACGAGCCCTCTCTTCCCCTCCCAACCGGAGGCAGGCTCGAAAGGAAATCGAAAGAGAAAGAAATTTGCTCTGATTTCGTTTCCTGTGTTGGAGAGAGACTCCTCCCTCTGCCTCGTTCCCTCTCTGTTTCCCCCCCCTCTCCGGTCCATGACTGTGAACTTTCTGATTATTTGCACTTTGCTGTGTGATTTCCCAGGTCTGTAGCTATCCGCAAAGGAGCCTGCGGGGGGTCTAAGGATAGCGCTCGGAGCATCGGCTTCTCCCGCGGACAATGTGGGGAGATGAAGACTATGATTCCACTTGGGCAGAGAGCGAAGGGGAACCTGAGCCCGAGTCAGCAGCGAGCTCCCCGAAACCTCAACAAAAACCAACGGTGCCCCCGGTAAGAGCAGGGCTGAGGCTTTTTTTTTGTGGGGGGGAGGTGGGACTGCTATTGTTGGCGGAGACAGGGGGGAAATTCTGTCGGAAGTGTTTGCATTAGGAGCCCGGCCGCTTGTGGCTGGATGTTAGTCGCCAGTATTTCTCAGCCTTGCAGTTTCTGGCTCTCCCAGCCACTACACAAGGGGTGAAATTCGCATTGGACCCTGTAGATGTATCCGAATTCTGAAGTTTCGCAGCTGAACATTTACAAGGTTTTGTGTGTCTAGCTGCAGTTGAGCATGTTTCAAGGAAATAGGTACCACCATGTTTGCACAGTACTGGATGTTCCTGCTTTCAGTCAGGGACCCAGGATTGGGAGTTCCCAGCCTGCTGCACTGCACATATATGGCTCCTGAAATCCCCTGTATCAAATAAAACAATTCCAGGAATACTCGCAGTGGGCGTGAGTCACACACACATTGTCCCTTGTCCACCCAAATACGCCGAAGGCTCAAGGATGGTTTGCTCCAGCCCCTGTTTGACGGGTTCTGGGCTGGCTATCTGTTCAGTCGAGTCAGCAATCCATTCAGAGTTACCCACGTTGCTGTGGGTCTGGAGTCGCATGTAGGCCAGACAGGCTAAGGATGGTAGATTTTCTTCCCTAATAGACATCAGTGAACCAGATAGGTTTTTCGCAGAAGTCCAGAAGAGGGGTCACTGGACTGGAAACTTTAGCTGTGCTTTCTCTCTCCCCAGATGCTGCCACACCTGCTGAGATTTTCCAGCAGTTTCTGATTTCCAAAATCCGCAGTTCTTTCACTTTTTTTTCGCATCTTAAGATCAATTGGCAGCGCTCGCCATTCAACTGGCTCTTCATCCCAGATTTTTGGTTTTTTTATTGAAGTGAAATTTTACCATCGGCCATAAATTAGGGTTCTGGATTATCAGTTATTTCTAGTTCACTGACATTGCCACTCACTTGTAAAGTGTTTCTGCTGCCCTCCTGCGAGTTTCAAGCCCCAAGTGAGGTTCAAAAAACAGAAATTGGTGGAGAAACTCAGCAGGTCTGTGTAGAGAGGAACCAGGTTAATGTTTTGGCTCCAGTGACTGTTCTACAGAACTCCGCTTGCTTTGAGCATCTGATGTAAGGTGAGTGAACAACATGCCTTACCTGGCAGTGCTGGTTTGAGTGATTAGAGCTTCCTCTCTGAGTGAGTTGGCTTGGGAAGGGACACTGTTGTTTGAGTGAATTTTTTTTGCCACTCATTTTGAGGATCTTTGGAAAAGGTGCAGAGAAAGATCAACTCTAATAGGAGAGGACCGTTCATAAGTTTGATAACAGCAGAGGAAAAACTGGCCTTAAGTCTGTTGGTATGTGTTTTCAAACTTTTGTAACTTCTGCCCGATGGAAGAGAGTGTAACTGGGGTGGAGGGGTTTTTGATAATGTTGGCCGCTTTCCTGAGGCAGCGGGAAGTGTAGACAGAGCCAATAGAAGTAAGGCTGGTTTTCATGATGGACTGGGCTGTGTTCACAACTCGCTGTGTAATTTCTTGCGATCTTGGGAAGAGCAGTTGCAATACCAAGCTGTGATAGATCTTTATAAGATGCTTTCTACGGTGCATCCATAAAAATTGAGAGACATTGTGGACGTGGCGTTTTTGTTTGTTTTCCCTCATTTCCCTTCCTTTATAAAAGACTTAAGTCACTATATAATAACTGAATAAAAACCGAAAGAACTGCGGATGCTGTAAATCAGGAACAAAAACAAAGTTGCTGGAATAGCTCAGCAGGCCTGGCAGCATCTGTGAAGGAGAAAACAGTTAATGTTTCGGGTCCGGTGACCCTTCCTCAGAATAAGGGTCACCAGACCCGAAATGTTAACTCTGTTTTCTCCTTCACAGATGCTGTCAGACGATATAATAATTGATTCTGTTCCTGATGAGGTGTGAGAAACAGGTGGCCATTCAGCCCCTCACCCTTAAGCCTGTAACACAAGAACAGGAGGAGGCCATTCAGCCCCTTCATTCACTTACAAATTTTTTCCTGTTGGTTTCAGACAGCACCAATTGAGGTGAATGGCAGGCGAGCCAAGGAATTCATGAGGAATAATTTCATTCCACAGCGAGTGGTTAGACTTGAAAGATGCTGTCTAAGAATGTAGTAGAGAAGTATTCAATTTAGCTTTCCAAAGGGAATTGGATAGGCAGCTGAAGAAAGGGTTGCACAGCAATGGGAAAGAATGATGGAGTGGGACATGCCAAATTGCTCTTGCAGAGAGCTAGCACAGCCTAGATAGGCTGAAACTCCCTTTCCACACGAGCGAGACTTCTGGCTGCATACACGTTGCAATTTTTGTTTTTTTAAAAAAGGAATTAGAATATTTTGGGATGTAGGCATTGCTGACAAGTCTGGCATTTATTGAACAACCCCAGCTTTTGTGTGAAGGTGAAGGACCAGCTTCATGATTCTTTTTAGCTGTTTGATACAACTGGCTAGCATTGCTGAGGCAATTAGGAGTTGACCGTGTTGCTGTAGGCCAGGAGTTACGTAAACGCAGAAGGTATGTAATGAAAATGGGTTTCCTTCCCTAAAGGACATTTTGAGAGTCTGACCACTCTACCAGCTCTGTGGTTACTTTATTTTTACAGTAATGCCAACTGTTATTCCAGATTTCTTTCTTAAGCTGAATTAAAATTCTTAATCAGCCACAGTAGGAAATAAGCTCATATTCAGGTCTCTGAATTTTCTTGGAATCCTTCCATCTACAAAAGGTGATGGACACAGCACACAATCCATTTCAGACTTGGGGCATTTCTTCCTGACACCTGAAGAAGTGAATCCTTGAGGAACTGTCACAATTGAGATGCCTGAAGCTACTGAGTGACATTGCAGGTTGTTGTCCTTGATGTTGGCATCTGTTTCCAAGTCACTGTAGCCGTTGGTCGTTATGGTGGTGAATGCCAGTCCACAGAGGTGTCACCATTTTCCTGTTGCCAGCGAGTGACTCCCAGCTGTGAGAGCCAGTGTCCAGGGCCGTGTTGTCACACTCACGAACATCCTTGAAGTGGAGCTCTGATTGCCTGGTACAGAGATCTCACTGTGCAGAAGGCCCTGGATTTGTGACCACCTTCTGTCCTGATGATGTTTGAGGACAAACAAAACGTGGGATCCCTGTCACAAGGGGGCTGCTGTAATCATCATTGTATCCTGCTGGAATATAGCCAGAATGCAGCACAGACAGTGAAAGTAGAAGTGATTTGTCTTGATAACTGAATGATGTCCATGTGTCTCAGCAAGCTGCTGAGAGCGCACATTAACCCATCAGCTTAGTCCCCAGGTTAACAAATTCTGCCAATCCATTTGCAGCAGGCTGTTATTTAGTGTGATCCAGGATGGGCATGTAACCATGTCCATGACTTACTCATGTTTCCCCACCCCCGCAATGTTTACTGTGAAGGGGAGCAAGCTACCAACGTGGCACAGACTGTCTTTGTACAGGAGCATTCACGTGGTGATTAGTGCTGCATTGTCAGGATAGAGGAGTGCTCTGATCGGGATGTGTTTTTGGTTTCACTTTCAGTCTTGGTAGATAATCTCAAGCACAAGTCACACTTTTTTTGCAAATGTAATCGCTGGCTTATTTATTTTAATAACTCCATCTAACCTTTGGACCACAGGGACAGAAAACAGTTGTTTAGCCCCTCCAAGTTGTCAAGCATGATTCTAGGAGTACGGCAGTCAGCTCCTTGAGACTGCTAAGTAAGAACAGAAGGAGGCCATTCAACCTTTTGGGCTTAAATAATGAACTGGCAGAAACCATTCAGCCACTTAAAAACTCATTGGTCTACATTGCCCCTGTCATGAGTAATGCGTACGTACTGAACTTCTAGCACAGATGTCTCATGGAGTCAAACAAAGTGCACCAGAAATTTCTGGTACTTTCCAAGAGACACAGCTTTGAATTTTGCAAGTATAGCGTGGCCAGTATTTAGTGTTCTGTGTAAGTGCCTGTAAGGAATTCTACATTTGCAAATCCTATGTCTGTCACAGTTAAAATTGTATTCAAAACCATTTTATTTCTAAGCAATATCCAGACACGTCACACTTCAGCATTTCATTCTCTGCCTTTTGGGTGCCATCCTCCAGATATTGTTATTTGTCGATTTATGCCCTGCATCAAAACATCGAGGGAAGATTTCTTTGAGATTGACCTGTGTAAACAGAATTTTTTTTTTGAAGTTTCAACAGCTAAGCAGGAGAAGATTTAAGGAAATTTATCCCGATTTTCCATTTGTTTCCTGGGCATCATTAACTCCTGTTGTGTTTGGTTTACTGTAAATGTTTTCTTGAAGTACTTTAGCAAGCAACATTTTAAGAAAGAATACTTAAACCTCTTGCTCAAAACTATATTTGTTCAATCTTGTCTCAAGTAGGAAATGATGTAAGGGAACTTCCTGGAGACAGTTCTGAACTAACTGCAAATGTCAGCGCTTGCATATTTCCAGCTTGCACTTTGTGGCACTGGTCCGTGAACAAGGGCAAACATACTTGATCATTCATACTCTTCCTCTTACTGTCTGTGCATTTACTATCCCTCAGATTTATTTTCTTCGGTGGTTGTGGGCGCTAATCTTCTCCATTTTTTCAAACTGGATCCAGGTGAGTTTTTCTCATTCTCTTTCCCTTTTTTCAAGGACAGTTAAACTAAAGGTTACTGTTGCGGAATAAGTAGTTACCCATTTAAGATGGATGAGAAAGTTTCGTTACTCAAAGGGCCATCCGCACTTGCAGCTCTCTTCCTCAAAAGGTGGAGGAAGCGGAGTACTTGAGTATTTTCAAGCAGAGGTGGATAGTTTTCTGATAAGCTGCAGCAATGGTGTAAGAGCTTATCAAAGTAAATGGAGTAATCAGAACAGTCAATATCTTAATGAATGGTGGAACTGGGTGGAGGGACTGAGTGGCCTACTCCTCCTCACTCTCTCTTGATTGTATAAATTCCTGAATTACAGCCGAGCTGTTTAAGTGAACAATATTCGGATGCTGGGGGTTGATTAGTTCATTTGGCTGGACGGCTGGTTTGCGATGCAGAGTGACACCAGCAACATGGGTATGATTCCCACACTGAGGCTTCCATGGAGGATTCTCCACCTCAACCCTTCCCCTCGCCTGAGGTCTGGTGACCCTCCGGTTAAACCACTACCAGTCATCCCTCTCTCTAATGAGAGAGCAGCCCCATGTTCTTCTAGGCCTTTACCTTTACCTTGCTCAGACTCTAGCTGCACCTTTCTCTATCACCTGCTCTATTGCACCTTTCTTGACCTTGGAACATCCCGAAGTATTTCACAACCAATCAAACGCTTCTTGAAGCATTGTCACTATTACAATTTGGGAAATTTGCACAGAACAAGCTGCCACAAACAGGCATGTGATCCTTAGAAGGTAATTTTTTATTTTAAAAATGGTTTGAGGGATTAATATTTACCAGGGATAACTAATCTCTTCTTCAAAATTGTGCCATTGGGTCTTTTACACCACCAATGTGAGCAGATAGTTTTTAAATTCTTTTCTAGAACTTTTAAAAAGACACGACTTTGAATGTTGCAAGTTTAGTGTGGCCAATATTTAGTGTTCTGTGTAAGTGTCTGTAAGGAATTCTACTTTCTGATATTTATTCTGACATTGAGTTCCATGTCTGTCAGAATTAAAACTGTGTTCACAACCCTTCTGTGCAATATTCAGTATTCATTCTCTGCCTTTGGGTGCCATTCTCTCGATATTGTAATTTGTTCTGATGCAGAGCATAACCAACATCGAGGAAAACGATGGTGTCTCCTACTGTGTCGTGTTCCTTCAGTATTCACTGTAGTGTCAGCTTGGGTTCTGTTCTCTAATCTCTGGCGTGGGAGTTGAACCCAGTCTTCTGACTAATACTACCCACTCATTCAAGCCTGAGAGCTAATGGGAATTGCAGTCTAGGCTCTGACATGAGGGATGGCTAGATTTACATACCAGAGTTCGGCACATTCAATCTAACCCCAAAAGAGAGAGGGAAGATTGATAAGAAGCTTATATTCAGCTTCAGTTTCTAATCTATATTAATGGTTTCAATAAGGCGATCAAGTACAGGGAAGGTGGTGGTGTATTGGGTAAAGTCACTGCATGAGGATCTAGAACCCTGGGTTGCTGTTCTGAGGACATGGGTTCATGTTCCACTGGTAGATGAATTCAGTAAAGAAATTTGGAATAAAAATTTAGTCTGGTGTTAACCAATTTAACCACTGTCAATTGTTGTAAAAACCCATCTGGTTCAGCCATGTTATTTAGGGAACAGCATGTGACTCCAGACAAAAATGTGGTTGACTTTTAACTGCCCTCTGGGGAGTTAGGCCTAGCCAGCGCTACATACATCCCATGAATTAATGATAATAGAGATTTATCAATAGTTTTCTTTGTTTTGTCAAAGAACTGCTGATGCTGGAAGTCTGAAACAAAATCATAAATTGCTGGAAAAACTCAGCAGGTCTGACAGATTCTGTGAAGAAAATCAGAGTTAACATTTTCAGGTCCGGTGACCCTTCTAACGATACCAAGCTGAGTTGTAAAGTTAACTGTGAGGAATATGTAGAGGGATAGAAGCAGATTGACTGAGTGAGCAAGAAGGTGGCAAACAGAGTGTGATGTCGGGAAATGTGAAATTATGCATTTTGGTGGAACAAAGATTCACTGGATTGATTTGGGGATGAAGGGATCCCCTTGGGAGTAGGGATTAGGGAGACTTCTCTGAAGTTTAGTGAAGAAAGCGAATGAAATGGTGGCCTTTTTTTATCTAGAGGAGTGGCGTATAAGGATGTTGATGTATTGTTGCAGTTACACAAAACCCTGGTGAGTTTCCACATGAAGTACTGTGAGCAGATCTGGACACCACACCTTAGAAAGCATATGTTAGCCTTGGAGGGCGTACAATGTAGGTTTACAGGTTATGGGGAGAACTTATACAAATTAGGCCTGTTTTCTCTAGAATGTAGACGGTTTAAGGATGATTTGATGGCAGTGTTCAGCATATTGACAGGGTAGATAAAGTTCAACAATTTCCACTGGTTGTGGATTCTAGAACTAGGGGTATAGTCTGAGCATTAGGGCCAGCCCATTCAGGAGAGATGTTAGGAAGCACTTTGACACACAAAGAGTGGAAGAGGTTTGGAACTCTCTTCCACAAATGGCAGGGAATGCTGGATCAGTTAGTTTTAAATTTGAGGGAGAGGAATTTTTGTTAAGCCAAGCTATGAAGGGATATGGGCCAAAGGCAGGTATATGGTGTTAGACCACAGATCAGCCATGATCTCATTGAATGGTGAAACAGGCTCATGGTTGAATGGCCTACCCCTGTTCCTATAGAGGAATGAGAGGTGATTTCATTTGAAGCATTGACAATTGTTTGAGGGTTTGACAGGGTAGATGGTAAGGGGCCGTTTTCCCCTCTGGCTGGAGAATGTCAGAATGATTCTGGATTCTGACATTCTCGAGATAGAGCCTCAACTGTTTTAAGGTTGTAACGAGAACAAATCTTTTCACTCAGGACGATGAATCTAATATCCTCCAACTCAAAGGGTTTTTGAATGGTCAGTTTTTTTTAATGGGTATTCAAGACTGTGTGTGATAGATTTTTGGGTGCTAAGGGAATCAACAAAGCATACGAAAGAAATTTCTTATCGCACATTTTCATGATCTGAAGATGCTGAAAGCACTGTACATACAGTGAAGAACTGTTTTATTTGTTCACGGGATGTGGGCATTGCTAGCTGGGTCAGTATCTGTTCCTCACCCCAAAATGCCTTTGAGAAGGTGATGGTGAGCTGCTTTCTTCAACCACTGTGGTCCTTTGGGGCATAGACACATCCACAGTTCTGTTAAGGTGGGGGTTTTGAAGTCTATCACTATTGTAATGTAGGAAACATGACATCCCAGATTCCACAAATATGATTATAGCCTGACAATCTTTGTGATATTAATTGTGGGATAAATGTTGAACCTTGGTGTCATGCACAGCAGGAACCCTACATTCATGCCAGCTCTCTACAAGAGACTCCTGAAGAACCTCACTCCCCTGCACTTTCCCAGCAATCCTGCAAATTTTGTCTGCTCGGATATTTATCCAAATCATTTTGAAGGCTTCCATTGAAGTCTCGGGCAGCGCGTTCCATATTCAAATCACTCGCTGTGATTTTAAAAAAAAACAGTTTGTTTTGCCATCTTTTTGCCAATATCTTTAAATTGATGATCTCTGATTCTCTTGCTGTACTCTATCCAGCTGTTTCTTGATTTTTCAGCACTTCTGTCAAGTCTCTTATGCCTTCTCTTCTACAACCCCAGCTTTTCCAAACTGTCCAAATAGCTGAGGTTATATTAGTCAGAGCCCTGCTGTTCTTGGTGATAAAGTCATGGATGTTTTACTTGCCTGAGAGAGGAGATGCTGATTTGGTTTAACACAACATCTAAAAGGACAATGCAGCAGTAAGTTACACTGAGTGTTGGTCAATGCTTGTTAAATTAAAGCGTATATAAAGCCCATTTACCCACTTGTGACTACATCAGTGCCACTGTCATCAAGCTCGTTGGCAGTTTCCGTCAGAAAACACCAGTCTAAAGTATGTCTGTGTTACTTTACAGAAGAACCGACAAGAAACTGGCCCAAGACCTGAGAAGCGAAACTATCTGAAATATGTAGGTACCATACTACATGTTGTGCATGGCTTTTTTTACATTCATTTGTAGGATGTGGGTGCTGCGGACAATGCCAGCGTTTTACTGTTTGTCTGCACTTACCCCAGGGAAGGTGTTGGTGAGCTGTCGTCTTGACACAGTGCAGTCCTTGATATAGGTACATCCAATGCTGTAAGAGAGGGAGTTCCAGAGTTTTGACCCAGTGGCACTGAAGGAATAGCAGTTATTCCTCTTCAAGATGAAGTCAGAAGTCACACGACGCCAGGTTATAGTCCAACAGGGTTTATTTGAAATCACAAGCTTTTGGAGTGCTGCATCTTTGTCAGGTGAAGGATTTCAGATAAACCTGTCGGACTATAACCTGGTGCCATGTGATTTCTGACGTTGTCCACCCCAGTCCAACACCGGCATCTCCACATCATGGCTTGTCAGGCTGGTGTATGGAAGGGAAACCTTCCAGGAGCTGTCCCCGTTTGTCTGCTGTCCTTTTTCCTTTTAGGCACTAGAGGTGTTAGGCTTCATTCATGACTCATGGAGTTAATCTGTCACCATGGAAATTAGTTGTGAAAGTGAGAGTTTAACCCTATATCTTTTCTTTGACCAGATGAGATTCTGGTTCCGTTGCTCAGATGTTTATTTGTTAATGCATGGGATCTGTACAGGTCAAGACAATGGTGTATAAAAACAAAGGTTTTATGCCAATTTCATAGAGAAGCTTCTGATCACCTGTTGCTACAGATGATGATTTCCAGTCAGAAAGTTACACATTTATTTGCCCAGATCTCTATCCAACTGTGTTTGAATAGTGACCATTCCAAGTTAGTACACGTGATATAATTGGATAATGTAGACATTACATGTTCACATCTACCTGCAGTACATGCTTGGGATTACAGCAAAGCCTGTGCTGTTTGTTCTGTTTCTCCATACAGCCCCACCATAAAGTTTATTTTGAAAAAGTGGAAAAAAAAACTAAAAGGAAAGAAAAGTTGGATGCAGAAACTTTTTCTCCTTTACCTTACTGCCTAGTGTCAGACTCCAGGTTATCTGTTGCACGGCCCATGTTTAATCCTAAAGTCCAGCTCCTGATCCTGGCCTGGTAGTTCACTGCATGTTCGGTCCAGGTCCAGGTCCTGGCCCTGGCCTGGTGATCCACTGCTGAAGTCCTGTAACTGAATCTTTTATTTGAACAGCAAATGTTTTGTGGAAGTTGCCAGTATTGAGCGTTTGTTTGTTTCAGGACTCGGCACATCGCTGGCGAAATTGGAGAGCAGCAAAGGACCTCCAGCGCTATCGGCATGGTTACCCTGTAAGTCTGAGAGAGTGTTGTGTATCATCAGTCATGTCTGCCTTTAAACACCTTTGAACTGGCTAGCTAGGCTGCTGTTCATTTGCAGCACTGAGGAGGTTTCCAACCTTCAGTTGCAACAGGACAAGACTTAGCCTTATTTCATTTTACTTCGGCGTATGTCTGTGCTGTAAATTTATTCAACCCAACTGGCTCCAGGTGGTGCTCCTCCCACCCCACAATCTGTCTTTCACTAAAATCAAAATACCGTGGATGCTGGAGACCTGAGGTAAAAACAGAAAGTGTCGGAAATACTCAGCAGGTCGGGCATCCTCTGTAGACAGTGAAACGCTGACTCGGATTCCTGCTGATTTGAGAGACTTGGGGACATTTGAAAGCGACAGGTTTTGTCTGGTACTGGGCTTCCTGCTCTCGTCACCATTTTTCTTCACAGGCAGTTCACACAGGGCGAGGGTTACAAGCCTGCTCCCATCACTTCTGCCCTTGCTGACTCTAATGCAGGGGTAATGGTTCAAGCCACTGTATACTATTATTGAAATCAGGCCCCTTCTGTAAGTAGATGGGGTCTGGGCCACTGAGAGGTGTCATGAACCATGGTGAGGCCCAATTTCAAGTCATGATCCAAAAGAAAACAGGTGTTTGACATTCCCATTGAGATAGACTGGCAAGCTTCTCCTTCATGTCAGTTGATCACAGTATCAATATCCAAAGCTTTTAATTGCTTTAGACTTCTCAATTGTCTAAATAAATACACAGGCCGTGAAAGTGGTTTTCAGGTTATTACATGGTAATATAGATGCCAATCAAAGGAAGTTTTCTCTCCCCTCTGCCACTGTATAAACATTGCTTGCTGAGACTTGAAGTGTGTTAGTCATTCTTGGATTTAAGCCTCATATTCGTAAAGAGGCCATCTATTCAGCCTGCTTTTGTTGATACAGTTGCCACATGGCTTCGTTATAAATGTCTTGATGAGCTTGAAACATTACCTTGTAATAACCTTTTCTTCACTGCTTAGTTGTTTATTTACACAAGCAGTTAGAAGTGCAAACAAGCTCTTAGTATTGTTACTGCAAATGGCAGTGGTTGATTGTAACTTTAAAGAGGTTGTAAATTCAATTGATTCTCCAGAGGATCTTTACAAATTATATTTTATTCTATCAGTTTGAGGATCATTTCAAAGGCTCATTGGTTCCCACATTGTTGATATGAGCAGTTCTGATGAAGAGTCTGTTTCTCTCCCCATAGATGCTGCCTGACCTGCTGTCTTTTGCCAGCAGTTTCTGTTTTTGTATAGTTGATTTGGGCCTTTTTAAAGGAGATGAGTCTGTGGGTTTGGGAAATTTCTTGTCTCAAACTTACCCCCTGGAGAAACCAACCTGCTAATTCTCTTTCTCCCCACAAATAGTCCCAAACCTGCTGGGTGTCTTCATTTTTTTTTGGTTTTAGGCAGCATGCCCTGCTATTTTCTTTCCCCTTCTTATGTATCTAACTTTGCCTTTCATGTATTTATGATTTGTCTCAAACATTCTGTGATAGCGAATTTCACATCCCCACCAATCACTGCACAAAAAAGGCTTCCCCTGGATTCACTATTGGGATTCTCAATGTTTACGTGGGTCGTTTTAATGTTAATTGCCAGCTGTTTTCCCACTTTGATCCGGCTTCTATTCCCAACAGGATTTAGATGATAAAGCAAAGAATAATGATAACATTAACTTCAAGTTCTACATGAATCAGAAACCTTCTCAGCCTGATGGTAAGTGGTTGCCAACTGATAGTTTGTTTTCTCATAGCCTTCGGAAGAAGTCCTTTCTAATATTCAAACAGTGATTGTAGAATCTTTTATGGTCACCTGAGAGGACATGGAACCTTCTTTTAACGTTCCATCTGAATAACCGCACCTGTCTGTGTAGCAGTCCATCAGTTTTTTTTTCATTTGGGGGATACAGGGGGCCAGCATTCCCAGTGTTAAATAAAGCATCGCTCAGAGAATATTTTCTTGATATCTGATGGAAAGTTGTGGAAATGTACAGTAGTTTATATGAAAAGGGTAAAGATAGGTTCTGGGTCCTTGTTAAAATGCTGGCTATTTTCCTGTTTTTTTTTCCGAAAGGGCTCTAATTCTCAGGCTTCACCACTCAATACAGGGAATGTTCTTTTTCACTCGTTCATGGGATGTGGGTGTTGCTGGTTGGGCCTGTATTTATTACCCATATTATTGCCCTTGAGAAGGTGGTGGTGAGCTGCCTTCTTGAACCGCTGCAGTCCACGTGCTGTAGGTTGATTCACAATGCCCTTAGGGATTGAATTCCAGGTTGTTGTAAAGGAATGATGATCTATTTCCAAGCCAGAATGGAGAGTGGGTTGGGGGAATCTTGCAGGGGGTGGTGTTCCCATACATCTGCTGCCCTTGTCCTCCTCAATAGAAGTGGGTCATGGGTTTGGAAGGATCTTTAGCGAATTTCTGACTTCTAGAATAGAACATGAACTCTCAATGTTCACATTCTGAGGTGAGAGTCCTACTCACTGTCCATGACCAAAAGCACTTTGTTGTGGAACGAGCTATCCTCTGTGGACTTTAAAGAATGTCGTCTTTGGAGGAGGATGTCAGACTAATAATTTAGGACTTTTGCAGCTGATGAGATATCCTACACATCAGCATGAGTTTACATTTTGATCTGTATCCAGGGGTATAAAGTAGAGAAGAAACTGCATTAGCCAATCTTCTGACACCCTCACACAGGGAAAGAAACAACACGGTTTGGCTCTACAGTGAGCACGTTAGAATTTAAACATTTTCAACCAGGTGGTTGCTACTTTAGTTTCCCTTTTACTACCAGCCCTTCAATGGGAAATTAACTTTTAATTTCTTCTCCTGTTCTAGAATGGACCATTGATGAGATAATTCAGAATTGGAAGGGAAAATATCTACATTTGGAGAGGAGCCATTCATACATCCAATGGTACTTTTTTCCTTCTTTATATTTGTACATTTGACTAGATATTCTGTCTGATTTTTTTTTTAAATTACATGGTATGTGTTATGCAGTGTGACATTGGGAAGGTAGATGATCTACCTCAGCACTCACTGAGACCTCTCTGCCCTGCATTGTTTCAGCGTTGCATTGGGTTAACATGGTGCATAAGAAAGTTTAGGATACATACCCTTTGTAGACAGGTGTATTGAAGACCAAAAAAGAAACTCTGAAATATTGCAAAGCTCTGGCTGAGCTGCCCATAGAGGAATGTGGACACTTAGCCACCTGACTTTGGGAAGAACATCAAGGAGGGGAGGTGATGGCCCAGTGGTATTATCGCTGGACTCTTAACCCAGAGACCCAGATAACATTCTGGGGACCCGGGTTCGAATCCCGCCATGGCAGATAGTGGAATTTGAATTCAATAAAATATCTGGAATTAAGAATCTAATGACGACATGAATCCATTGTCCATTGTCAGAAAAACCCATCTGGTTCACTAATGTCGTTCAGTAAAGGAAACTGCCATCCTTACCTGGTCTGGCACAAGGCTAAATTAAACAGCTCTTTCAAAGAACCAGGACAGGCACAGAAGGCTTTGTTCTGTGTTCTGAAGATTCTATGATCTACAGGCAGACTTGGAATAATGATCTGACTGACATTCCCTCATTTCCCACCATCTCCGTCTCCAGTCTGATGGCCACCTGTTGTCACAGTCTTGTCTCTCGATGTTTATTTTTCTTCATTCCTGGGATGTGAGCCGGCAGGCCCAAAATTATTGTCTGTTCACAATTGACCTGGAGAAAGTGATGGTGAACTGTCGTCTTGAACCGCTGTGGTCCATGTGGTGTAGGATAAAGTTGACATAGTCCCAGAGAACCATAGCGCTGCTCTCTCATTTCAACACTTACAAGGATGTTGCCAGGTTTGGAGGGTTTGAGCTGTAGGGAGGGGCCGATAGGTTGCAGCTGCTTTCCCTGGAGCATTGGAGGTTGAGGGGTGACCTTATAGAGGCTCATAAAATCATGAGGGGCATGGATACGGTGAATAGACAAGGTCTTTTCCATGTGGTATGGGAGTCCAAAACCAGAGGATATAGTTTAAGGTGAGAGGGGAAAGATTTAAAAGGGAACTGAGAGGCAACTTTTTCATGCAGAGGGTGGTGCGAGTATGGAATGAGCTGCCAGAGGAAGTGGTGGAGGCTGGTTCGATTACAACACTGAAAAGGCATCTGAATGGGTATATGAATAGGAAGGGTTTAGAGGGATATGGGCCAAATGCTGGCAAATGGGACTAGATTAATTTAGGATATCTCGTCAGCATGGATGAGTTGGACCAAAGGGTCTGTTTCCATGCTGTACAACTCTGAGTTTGAAGTTATGTCCATGCGACACAACAGCCCAGTAATGACAAAACATCACTGAGACAATCTGACCATCTGGCCTTGGCCAGAAACTGACCAGACCAGCCATATGAATACTGTGGTTACGAAAGCGAGTCAGAGGCTAAGAATTCTGCAATAGTTAAGTCACCTCCTGGATCCTCAAAAACAGTCTATCTGCAATGTACAAGTCAGGAATGTGATGGAACACTCCCCACTTGCTTGGGCCCAACAAAACTTAAGAAGCTCGACACCATCCAGGACAAACTGCTTGATCGGCATTCCATTCAGCTCCAGTAACATTTACTCCATCCACCACTAATGCACAGCAGCAGCGGTGTGTACCATCTACAAGATCCACTGAAGTTAATCACCAAGACTCTTGATCAGCAAGCTCCAAACTCAGAACTTGTACCACCTCAAAAAGGACAAGGGCAGTAGGCATATGGGAACACTACCATCTGTGAGCTCTTTTCCAAAACACAACATCATCTTGAATAGATCTAGATCACCTTTCCTTCACACTGCTGTTGGGGTTAAAATGCTGGAATTCCCTCCCCACACTGCAGGTGCCCTGGGAGTTGGTTGGCTCAGGACAATTGGTATGCAATGGAGAGAGACGAGAACAGCCAACAATAATTACAATCGGCTGAGATTGCCATGAAGACACTACCTTCTCAACCTCGCCCCTCGCCAGAGGTGTGGTGACCTTCAAGTTGAACTCACCACTTGTTTCTCCTTTCAGCTTTCACAACATCCTTTCTATAGCAGGGAGACTAGAATTAAGTGCAATGTTCCAAAAGTGGCCTAACCAATGTCCTGTACAGGCACAACATGACCTGCCAACTCCTCCTCTACTCAATGCACTAACCAATAATGGCAAGCGTATCGAATGCCGTCTTCGCTACCCTGTCTACCTGCAACTCCATTTTTAAGGACCTATGAACCTGCTCCCCAGGTCTCTGGCAACATTCCCCAGTGCCCTACCATTAAGTGTATAAGTCCTGCCCTAATTTTGCCTTTCCAAAATGCAGCACCTCACATTTATCTAAACTAAACTCCATTTGCCACTCCTCAGCCCACTGGCGCATCCGAACAAGATCCCATTGTACTCTGAACTAACCTTCTTCACTGTCCACTACACCACCAATTTTGGTGTCATTTTCAAACTTACTAACTATACCTCGTATATTCACATCTGAATCTTTTATGTAAATGACAAAAAGCAGTGGACCCAGCACTGATCTTTGTAACACACCGCTGGTCACAGGCCTCCACTTTGACAAACAACCCTCCACCATCTCTCACTGTCTGTCGCTCTCACTCTCCTACCTTCAAGCCAGTTTTTTATCCAAATGGCTAGCTCTCCCTGGATCCCATTTGATCTAACTCATTCAACATCAATGTTTCAGTCGCTGTGTGGTTTTCACTCTGGATGACAAGCAATGCTTAAAACGTTTCTGACCATCTGGAGCGATTCTCACTTCTAACCATTTGTTCGTCTTGTGGTTTCAGGTTGTTCCCATTGAGAGAACCTGGAATGAATTGGTATGCCAAGGAGCTCACAAGACAAGAAATTGAGGTGTGTATCAAAGGAAGGGAATTACTCAGCATTGTCTTCCATTGGATTCAAATGAACCAAATATTCCTGACCTTCAGAAAAAGAGTCAAACTGTACAAGCGTACAAGCTTACAACACAAATGTTTTGATTTCAGAATTTGGAATAATTTGTTTCCTTGGCTCAGATTTTAGGGATGTTTTTAAAACTACCTTAATTCAAAGAAAGTCAGTATTTTCATAAGCACCTTTCATGACTTCACAACATCCCAAAGTGCTTGAGCTACTCTGAAGTTAGTCACTTTTGTAATGCAGTTTGCACAAGACAGATCCCCAAAACACCAATGTGATAAAGACCAAATTATCTGTTTTGTTTTTAAGTGCTAATGGTGGCAGAATAAATATTGACCAGAACACAGAAGAGACCCGCCTATTTAAAATCATGTCTGAGAGGGCAAACGGGATTTTCATTTAATGTTTTGTTTCAAAGATAGTTCCTCCAATAGTCTATGAATTCTTCAGTTATGCACTGGGAGTGCCAACTTCAGCTCCAGTGTGGGGCTTGAACCTCTGACCATTTGTCCAGTAATCCCCTTGCCATAATGGCTGCGTGTAAAGAAGTTAGAACTGCAGGGGGTTTTGGTGAGACAGAGCTGCATGTGTTTTTGGTTTAAGAACATTTGTGCTTACAGTGGAGGCAGTACAGCAAGGCTTCACAAGGCTGGTCTCCAGGATGAAAGGGTTGTCATATGGTAAAGGCTTGAGTAAATTAGGTTGATATTCCCTGGAGTTGAGAAGACCCTGGTGGTCTAGTGGTTAGCATTCGGCATTTTCGCCATCATGGCCCAGGTTCGATTCCTGGTCAGGGACTGAGAGTTTATGGAGCTAATGGTGTGAAACTACCATCTGTGGGATTATGACTGACTGCCTCTATGTCAGAATCACGTCTAAATGTAACAATAAGGGAACGTGAGCTGGCTTTAGACCATTGTGAGACAGGTTAGTTTTACCCTACTGATAATGTTAAAGTAGTAATCCTGCTGGATACAAGAGAAATTGCAGCTTCAGATATTTGGTGTTATGTGCTTGCCTGAGGGACTCCGAGAGGTGATCTCGTTGAAGCACACGAGATTCTGAAGAGGACTAACACTGAGAGGTTGCTTCTCCCTGGCAAATACATCTAGAGCACAGTCAGGAAGCAGAGTGGAGGGCACGCCCCTGTCTGCATCAGTGGTGGAGATGGTCAAGAGCATCAAGTTCTTGGAAGTGATGATCACCAACAATCTGTCCTGTCCACCCACATTGATGTGACAGTCAAGAAAACACAGCAACACCTCTACTGCCTCAGGAGGCTAAGGAAATTCGACATGTCCTCAATGACCCTTACCAATTTTTATCGATGCACCATAGAAAGCATTCTATAAGGATGCATCACAGCCTGGTATGGCAACTGCTGTACCCAAGACTGCAAGAAATGATGGAGAGTTGTGAATACATCCCAGTCCATCGCACAAACCTTCCATCCAATGACTCCATTTATACTTCCCACTGCCCCGGGAAAGCAGCCGACATAATCAAAGACCCTCCCTCCCCGGTTATACTCTCTTCCACCCTCTTCCGTTGGGCAGGAAATATCAAAGTTTGAATACACATATAAACTGAATGGCACATTCCCTGCTGTTATCAGACTTTTGAATGGACCTCTCAAATGTTAATTCTGATCTCTCTCGCTCTCTCTACACTTTCTCTGCGGCTGTAACACTGCAATCTACACTCTGTTCTGCTACCCTGATGCGCTTTGTATGGTATGATGTGACAACAATAAATCAATCGACAATCAATCTCAGGATACAGGCTCAATCGTTCAGAGTCAGAAATCACACAGCAGCAGGTTATAGTCCAACAGGCTTATTCGAAACCACAAGCTTTAAGAGTGCTGCTCCTTCATCAGATGAAGTGATCGTTCAATTACAGAACAAAACCGGAAATGACACTACTCACCATAACGGACCGGACAGTATAAATTCTAAGCGGAGTAGAACAACATCGCTTCATTAGAGGCCTTGCTGATGATGTCACCTAGCATGGTGACAAAATGTCTGAATGAGAACAAGCCGGCTCGGTGTGCAAGTCATCAACCTGGTCTACTGATATAACAAGGTGTAGAGCTGGATGAACACAGCAGGCCAAGCAGCATCAGAGGAGCGGGA